GGCCTTTCTCACATGTTATTTTGTGCAAACTAACATGTTCCCTGCTGACTTTCATTCTGTGGTTAGGAACAAGTGTGTGAGCTGCTCTAAAGAGGATTCTGGGGAAGTAGCCATCATTACTGGATTCAGAGGGTTGGAAGCTGACTGATGTTGTGGTCACTTTGGTATCACTTGAGGAATTGTTGTATGCAGAGATGAGTCATATTATTGGTGGAGCAGAACCTGACCCTAGGGCCTGTAAGCAGTGGGAAGAACAACCATTGCACCACCCTCTAATAGCACACAGACCCAGGCAAGAGCACTGGCCAGCCAAAATAAATTAATTGCATCATCTAGTGGATATTGGGCTATATCAAAGCCTCCTGCTCCCTTTAATAAGTGCAGTAAAAATGTCTCCATTAATTGCTTTCATTTCAATTAGACAACTTGTGCCTTCCGAGCCTGCTGAGGACAAGGGATGGTGTGAAGAGATATTGCAGAAGCACTAGCAGAGTGAAATCCTTGCACCCTGAAGTTGCAGGAACTTTGTGTTTACCAGAGATGGCTAAAGTGTACCCAAGGTATTCAAAGTCTCTTGTGATTTGCTTTCTTTATCAATGTCAATCTAGGTACTGCTGTTCAGTAACAGGAGAATCATCTGACTATGATGGAGATTTGGACATGACAGAGATCTCTCTCCACTTCCGACACTGATATGTTCCAGGATGGAGAGCCCACAGCATCATTTAATCTCCCAAGGAGAGAAAAGTAACACACAAAAAGGACCTTTTGGAATTCAGGACATTTGGCCCTCAGCCAGATGATTTTCAGCAAACAAATAATGAACAAGAGGGAGAGAACCTGCCTAAGGTGAACTGAGGAATTAGTGCTAAGCCATCTTGGCATCAGTAGGAGCATGCAGCAAGGTAAGAAAGCTAAAAGCACTGAAAGGCAAAAAGCTGCAAAATAAAGTGAAGATGGAGGATCTGGTGCAGGGACAAATGTAGTGCTCTTGAGAAATTCAGAGGTAAAGGAGCAGGGCAGACAATCTTCTCCTGGGAAATATGTCTAATACTCCACTCTAAGACCTTCAGAATATGGTTGAATTGTGTCACTGCTCATGGTAGTTACCGTACAAATTTCTTGTATGCCTCTCATAAATCCTTGTTTAGACTTTGATCCACCCAGCATCTTTATCCATTTTTACTTCATCATCCCTTTCCCAGCTGTCCTCCACCCCACCCAGTCTACTGGCTTGTCCTGCAGCTTCCACACACCCCTATACTTTCTTCAGGCGGCTTTGTGTCTGGCTTGAATGAAGATCTCTGATCCTCTCTTTCCAGTCCTGAGACCCAGCTTATTCCACTTACATCTCTGGTGGCTTCTTTCTTACTCACATGTTAGAAGCTCACAAAGCTTTGCTCTTAAGAGATGAGACATTAGGGTGTGAGGTGAACACATCTGAATTCATATTTAAGGCCATATTTTAATGCCCACTAGGGAATATGATATTGCTGACCATGTATAATGATGGCACAGAGCTAGATAGCATGCCTGAAGTCACACTGGACTGTGACTGGCACAGCTGGAGAGTTAAAGTACCAATGACTTGAAGAGCAGCCAATTCTATCAGTGCTGGCTACAATTAAAAGAATTCCTTGCTTTGGGAGCAAGGGACTCCCTTGGGCCAAGGGACTGAGAGACCTTCTTTCTGTCAAATCACTGTCATGTATGAGGCTAGAGGCTAAACTCTGTCATTACTTTGGCATATTGGTATCCTCCTCCCAGACTAAGTTCTCATTCTCCTTATGTCTTGAAACAATGTTCTCCTTCTGTTGGGCCAAATAAGATGCTCCTCCAACTTCTTTCTTCAAGACCTTTCAGCATTTGGTTATTTTAGATCCCCGTGCAATCTCAGCCAGGATGCCTTTTGAGTACAATAGGATGTACCAGGTGCACACATTCGGTTTCCATTAACACAGTGCCAGTAGCAAGTCTCTTCTTGCATGGTTCCAGTGGGAAACAGATGTAAGATGAACTGCAGAAGAATCCTACAGTGATGGAATCAGCTAGGTCAGACACCCAGGACAATACCATCTGCCTCACTCAGAGACCAACAGTTGTGGGCATCAGCATGTGAATCCCTGGGAGCACAAAAGAGCAGATGCTTCAAACCCTTTGAGGTTGACCCATTGCTGAGCAACGTTCCTAGTGTTTGGCTCTGGCTCAAGACAAGCCTTGAGTTTCATGCATTTATAAGGGCAGAAGTCAGCTCTGATAGAATCAGAATGGGTCGCCTGAAATGAAAGCTCAGCATTGGGTGTGTAGTAAAAAACATGCCAGATGTCCAACTGGGCAAAACATGAAAGAGGTGTGAGTGGGTAAGAGGCATGAAACAAGCCTTTCCTCGTTGCTTGCTACACAGCTGGTTTAAATGTGTCAATACAGGTATTACAGGGATTTTGCAACACTCCTCTTATCCTGGTAGGGGCCCTGAGTTTTGGATACACCTGATTCCCATTCAGATGTATGTGTGCGGACCCAGATTGGAGCTGGGACCATATGGTTGCAATGGGAATTAGATCGTCTCAAAAATTCTCAATTAGGTTGTCTCAATGCTTCTTACTGCAGAAGCAAAGGGAAGGGCCCCCTATCATGGCTGGCTGGCAGACCCAAATTTTCCCATTTGCCTCTGTAACTATGATAAGTGCGAGCAGCTTTTTGCAAGTAAAACACGAATTATATAGCACACTAGCAGATATAGGCAAGTAAATGTCATTTTATATAACTTATTTCCACATGTCATGAAATAATAGTGTCATACCAAAGGGCAAGAGTCTTCAAAATGGAAGTTACACTTATAGAAGCTGGTGAAACCAAAGACCAAACCTGATACACAGGCCTGGGCGGAGTATATTCAATCAGAGCTATTTGCCTTGTTTGTCTTCTCAGAGCAGTCAGGTAGGGTTCAGCAGGAGAATGATGTTAAAACTGGACTTGAAGAACAGGCCCAACAATCCTCCTTCCCCCATCCCCCAAAAGAAGCCTTTCTCTCCATGGTGCAGAGTCTTTTTCTCAAGTGGACAGAGACTCTGCGACGCCAGATGAAATGAATTGCATCATTTGATGGATTTTATCTTCAATCAAAGTGCACCTCTCTCTTTAGCAGAAAAGCTGTAAAAATGTCTTGATTAAACATGAAATCTCCAAGGTGATTCTTTGGACTGAGTACTGAAATTGTTAGAAAGTGACCTCCAGGTTAACTCCTTTTAGGTTCCTGGCCTTGAAGCTGATAAAAGAATCCTTCATGAGAACATAGCATTGTTGTTTGAAACCCAGTAAAAAAGAAGATAAACACAGATGCTTTCAAATGTCAGGAGGGAGATGGCAGGTCAGGTGGAGATTGCATGCATGATTTTGAGAGTGGGTGGGTGTTAGTCTTGGAATGGCATTTTCTTATCAGAAAGAAAAAAAGGACATGAGAAATACAGTCCAAGAGGGTTTTCCCCTAGATGGTTCAGAAGTAAACCACTGCCTTGGTTTACTCACCACAGCCACTGCTTTTGATACAGCAGGCCTTGAAACATACCAAGCAGATTTTGCCTGGCAGGCTGGGCCAAACCCAAGCACATGAATGAGCCCAAAAGAATTAACTCTGCTTATCCAACACTCATTTTAGAAACATCCAGTCTCCTTCTGCCTTGGAGAGATCCCAGACCTCGGGTATGTTTTAATGGGTCAGAGAGAGGAATCATGGTCACATCACAACCTTGTGGGCTTGGTCTGAGTGTAGGCAGAGAGGCTCATTCCCTATGGCTGTGAGGTGAGCAGTTTTAAAATTCATATAAGTACATTGTATATAGCAAAAGAACACTACAGAAGCTCTTTGCTGAGCTGGACTGGGTTCATTCCAAGCCAGGGAATCCTTCTCCCCAGGGTGGTGGCTCACATCAAATGGAAGAACCACAGCTAGCAGAGCACGCAGAGGAATGAAGTGCCCTGACATAGTGCTCCAGCTCGTCCTTCCATCCTGCACAACCTTTGCTGGCACCTGAACTGCCTTGTCATCATCCAGCAGAAGCATGGCCAACTGAGGGAGTTACTCAAGCTGGAAAAGTTACTGCTCATCCTCCACACCAGATCTGACCACGGGAACACTCCTTGCTCACCCTACTTGTGAGACAGTCACTCCACTCACCTTCTTGTGAGAGATGTGGGAAGCAGACAGCCTCCAACCAGTGGCTGGGTAAACCTTTGTGTTTGTCTTTTCTCTTTCTGTGCTTTTGTCTGGCTTGTATCTGTAAACCATAACTCCTCAGTGTGGGAAGTCTCTCCTGCTAAACACAGATCCCAACACAACAGAGCAGAGTGTAGATATTACTAGAACAGTAATGCTGGTGGTAAAAGCCTGATGACCCCTTTCAAAAAAGTCTAAGTACCACATCTTTCATCCTAATGGTATTCCTGTCACGCAAGTCTTCAAATTACTCTGTAATTTCATATAATGGAATTCTACACTTTTGACCTTAAACTGTGAGAATTATGTTGTCACCTGGCACTTACAGGGTGATCCCCTCCTGCAGATGGGCAGACAAATGACCAAGGTCAAAGGTTTGGTTCCTCACCAGCTCTCCAGGGAGTGGTGCAAGAAAGGCTGCATCCATGCCTGCAGTCTTTACAGCACAGGGAGATCATCTTCTCTGGAGACCACCCAGGGTGGGGATACAGCTACAGATGCTGAAAGCTGCCAGTGGCCACATGCAAAGGAGACCCTAATCCTGACTGCCATCTCTCCTCTGGGTTGCAGACAGCTTTCCCTCATCAGGCTGCTGCTCATCACAGATGGTAGTTCAAACATGTAGCTTAATCCTGAAGAAAAAAACACAACTCTCCCACCTTAAAGAGTGGGGGGAAAAGCATGGCAAGGGTCTGCCTACATGTATTCACAGTTTGCACAGAGCACACAATGTCTTTCCCATTTCCAGTGATTGATGGGATGTGGCATTTTTCTCTGCCAGTGTCCAGACAAACAGACCTAGCCCCTTGCTTCACTCATCCTCTTTCTCCATGAAGAGGCAGCAGCACTCTCTGACGTAAAATCCTGTAAAGACAAAAGAAAGAACTGAATTCTGCCTCTCCCATGCTGTGGTTGAGGGGGCGAGACAGGTAAAATGCATCAGGCCACAGCATCTTTTAGATTAAATTCCAGCTCTCATCTGCCTTGTAAAGGCTGACCCTGACAATTTCTCTCTGTGCTGGGCTCTCTCTGTGGTTTCTTTATGTGACCAAGCTTTGTTCTACTTTATTTTATTTTAGTCTATTCTCTCTCCCATGTTTGCAAATGTTCACAATGAATTGAAGACAGTTCTCCAGCTCAGATTTACAGCTGCACGGAAAGACTGTTGCTATTTATAGTCATCTCAAATTTGTTTCATCTGCCTACACAATCAATTAGCTTCAGCTCCAGCTAATTTTGCAATCAGCCCAAGAAAAATGTCTCTGGCATAGTATCTTGTTTTCTCCTTCTTTACCCTGGAGCTATAAAATTTCTGTACCCCTTCCTTATCCAAGTTCTACACCTTAATACAGCACTAGCCGGACTCATCCTCCATGTCTTTTGCCTTTTAGAAGCTTCTTCCTGGCTGACTTGACAGAAGAGTATTTACTTTACATGATGGAGACCTTTTTTCCTCTCCAATGGAAGTTTGGAAAGAATACTCCACCGTTTATTTTTCCATCAGCTAATTGCAAATATTGAAAGCGTCTAGACATGGGGAAAATAGCTTTATAAATCATCAGCAAAAGGAATTTCAATGTTATCTTAAATCCCACACAAATAATTTTTAAAGATGTTCAGTAAATATATATTTGTGTATAGAAAAATCAAGCTAACCTGGAACTCAGGTTGAGTGCACATAAGGAATTTAAATGTTCAGGGAAGGGAATCACAGAATAAGGAGGTTGTAACTGTACCACAAACAAGCAATAAAACACAGCAGAATAAAAGGGAGGGTGTAATGAAGAGCAATGCTGAAGTCAGTAACTTGGGGCAACTTTTCAGTTCCTCTTTACTGGAGTCTGGGACTTCAGCAAGTCTTTGTCAATCTCACCTGAGCTGGTGGTTCAAGTGGCATAAACTGTGTGCAGCCATTAGGAGTCTTTGAATACAAACAGAAATATGTGCTGATCCTGGCATCAGAGCATCTGTTAGAGTCACAAAGTCGAGGGATGTCTCCTCAAGCCCCAGTGGTGACAAGACACTCTGAGGGCAAGCTCACAGTTCTACTGAGCACAAAACAACCAGCAGGACTCACCAGGTATCTTGCAGAGCATCTTCTCCTGTATGGTAGGATCAGAAAAGTTTAAATCAGTCCTGGCAGGTGCTGCATAAATCTTTACTGTAAAACCTCCAGCTTTTAATGTATTACTCATTCTTATTCTGAGCACTAAAACATATCCTGTGGTTACAGATTTAAGTTGAACTGTAAGCCCAGGACTTTGCACATTTACATTTGTAAATTGGCTTCCAGAGGGTCATGGACTGAAAGCATTGCCCTTTGGGAGCCCAGTCTCAAAGGATCTCTCAGCTCAGACATGAGATTCCTGTGGGTTTTCAGTAATTTTACATGCCCAAGACAACTTATTTAGAGAAACAAAAATATTGTTTGTCCTTGTGGGTAAACTATTTACTCAGTTCCTTTTAAACTGTCACATCTCTTTCAAAATGTTAGAGGTTTGTTTTGGTTTGGTTTGGTTATGGGTTTTTTAGCTCCTTGCTTAGCAGAAGAGAGACTTTCTTGAGGAGAAAGGCAGGCATGGGTTCTGTACTCACTGAGGATTTAGGGAAAGGGCTTTTTTCCCTTAGAAGGGCAGGAGTCTCAGGATACCCCCTTTCCCTTTGGATTACTGTTTGAGCTTGGGAAAACCTGGGGACAAAACACCCAGATAAGGATGGAAAAGAGAATATGAGAGTATGGAGTATAGGGAACAGAAGTTGGGGGGTGTTAACAGCATACAAGAAAGGGTTTGAAACAATGAAACTTTTCATTGATGGTCTAATGCAGTCCCCAGTAATCCATCCAGGATGCATCCCTGCCTGTTTTGGCATCTTGTCTCTCAGTTCCTGTCAGTGAACTGTGAGACAAGACACTGAACTGTGGTCCACATGTGAATGGTATTTTTTTCCTAAAGTTTTGATAGTCGCAGCCTGCAAATGTTTTAGGAATTGTTTAGTTTGTTTGTCTAAAAAACATATTTGCCTTTCCTTTCCCTGACAGAAATGCTCTGACACTTTATGGAACTGGCAAATTGTTCAACTTCCCTGGAATCAGGATCACATTCTTTCCACATCCTGCAAAGCTCTGCCTTTACCAAGTATCACTGCTAAATACTGCTGTAGGAACTATGATTTCTTCTTCTTCCTTCTTCTTCTTCCTTCTTCTTCTTTTTCATGATAACCAGGAGCAAACAGCCCTCAAAACACTTGATTTCTGGTGAAAGTTGATATTCACCTCCATACCTATAATGGACAAGACATGAATTTCTAGCCTTTGAGAAAAGCCATATTAGAATGCTGCTTATGCCTGAAGACGTGGCTGTGGAACGTCTTGTGCTGTTGGGGTATTTTCTGTCTGCATGGAGAAAGAAGGAATTGTGCTGAAATTTGAGGATCACTCCTAGCCAAGCTTGGGCTGCTGCTAGATTTGGAATTTAAGACCACATGTGAATGAATGGAAGAAATCATTCAGGCTGAAGGAAGCAACAGGAGTCAGTGGGGACTTTGTGACATTTTTGTAGGAGGACAAGAGGTGTTGGCTGTTTCTTTCCTGATGGTGAGCTGGTAATTTGGCTGCTGGTCCCACTTGTGTGACATTGTGTTTACAGAGGTTGCTATAGGAGTACAGCAAGTTCCTTTGAGCTACAATTGCTTCAGATCTGCCACTAAGGCAGATTAGAAAGGGTGTGGTAGATAGACTCCCTGCCTAACATCTGTGGAGGGTGAAAGAAGTTAGAAGCAACATTTTCTGCTTTGCATCTCAAAGTTGTTTCCAAGCACCATTCCACTGAATCTGGGCGTCTCCCACCCCCTCAATCCCAGCCATTCACTCCCTTGAACTTCTCCATGATAGGAAAGAAGTAAATCCTAAAGGAGAAGACAAAGGGCTCAGATCATGGGCCTCAAAAGCAGTGCTTGTGAGACATAGGAGCAATGTGCTGAGGTTCTAGGACTGGGCTGAGCCACCAAGGTTGTGTGGCGCCCCAGAGGTTCTTACAGCTGATGTGTCCAATACCAAATGTCTTATCAAACTGCAGGCCCAGCCTCTGGTAGCCTCTGAACCCATTTTTTCCTCTACCTCCCACTTCATCTTGCATTTGCAGTTAAATAAATTCAGCTGAAGTCAGCTGTAAAAGCTGGGGATGAGATCTAGAACCTGCATTTTATTGTCCCAGAATAATTGTCTTGCTCACAGACATCAGAGCTTTTCTAACTATTTGTATGGCCATGGACATTATCAGACATATACCATTTGAGATTGCTCATTGCCTTTAACCAAAAGACCAATCTGGTTGAACATCTTTCTAATCCACAAGGCCAAATGAAGTTGCTCCTGGCCCAGTGGTAGAAGAAGTTGATGAAAAGGCTCTCCATTACTATAATCCTTGCTGGTGTGCAATAAAAATCTTTGGTGTGGGTTTTCCTTGATGATTCCCCAAGTTCAGTCCAGCTCAGAGAAATCTGCCATCTCTGGAATCCCTCTTCTCAAGCAACCCTGATTTCTGGGTTTAGTAAATTTAAAAACCTACACATTAATTTTGTGAGATTGCATTATTTCAAAGTATGTTGTATGGCTTTCCACTGTCTAAACCAGTCAATCACTTTCTTTCAAGAGGAGGAGGGGGAAAAAATTCAGGTTAAGTGATGTTAAGTCACCTGAGACCAAGATTTCTTTGGCTGAAGAGTCTTCATTGACCTTTGCTTGCATAATGAAAGATTTTACTTTACTTAGTTCTGTAAAGAATTATACCTTTGTGTTTGCGTAATACATTTTAAAATATATTAGGAAACTAAAGCATGCTTACCACAAGGGTTGAAGATGTGCTTTAAAGCCCTGGCTAGCTTGCTAAAGTGGTACCTTCTGTGTCCTTTAATTTCTTACATAGATTGATCTTGACAGAACATTCTTCTTTACTTCCTGCTCTGTGGTATGATGAGCGTTTGTCTCTGCTGGACAAGATGAATTGCTTCCCACCCTGAGGATAACTGCATGATCCTTACAGACAATGTTTCAGGATGAAGTTGCAGCTACCTCCATATCTGCTAACTTCACCCATGTTCAGGACACAGAACAGGGTGGTTTGGAAGACAGTAAGAGTGCTTTGGTGGAAAAGTTACAGAGGATCATGGCTAATTCTTCTTCCACTCCCACAGCCTGCTCATTTTGTTGTGTGGCTTGTAGAAGTGCTGGTCTTAGGTGAGATAGTGGCCCCTAAGTGCAGGGATTTGTTTCTGGCATTTCTGTATTTCCTTCTATTTCAAATGCCACCACAATCAGCTTGAGATATCTGCCTTACGAGAGAAATTTCCATGTGATGGCAATCCAGAAAGGAAGAAAGGAGACAGTTAGACCTTTTCTAATAATGTTCACAAAAATGGGTGGATCAGGTCTCAGCTCAGTCATGTGCCGGAGGAAGACCATGTGACAGAATTTTAATAATAATATATAACAATAATAATAATTATAATGAATAATATTATAAAAATATTATTTTTAATATAAAAATATATAAAAATTAAAAAATCTATGACCTACCACAGACTGTGGCAAGATGAGAGAAACTTTACACAAAGGCCTCAAGACCATTGGGGATTCTGTCAGCTCTTCAACAACAGGCTGAGCTGGAAAGAAGGATAATGAACTCAGTTTTCCCAGAAGGGATTTTTTACATACCTCCATCATTTCTTTCAAAGCTTTCTTTGCCCTGCCTGGTGAAGGCACTGGAGATGGGCCAGGTGCCCTCTGTGTCCCTGGATGCAAATCAGTGGGGGGGGGGGGAGACAAAACTGCAGCACAAGCAAAGCTGCCAATGCACTAGCCTGAGCTGCTGGTGCCAGCCCTGAGGACGAAGGTTATCCTTCCAGTGTTTGATGCCAACTGGCACAGCCTCCCTCTTCTTCCTTCACACAAGTGTTGCCTCCTTCCCCCTCCCTCTCCACAATATTTTGCCTTTGAAGTCACTTCATCAAGAAATTCTTCCTCAGTCAGAATTAATCTTCCACCTGCCAGGCCATGAATAGTCACCTTTTTGTACGTCTGCAGCATGTTGCCAAAGTAAGGGAGCAGAAAATAACGGGTAAGCCTGGAAGAGATAAATGGCACCAAGTAACACAAAGAAATCCTACCAATAAATTTAACCCCAAAGCAACACAAGGTATTTGTCCCTCCTGGTCCCACAGTCCCTCACAGAGCTTCCTTTAACTTGGTTAGACTTCAGAAAGGTCTCCAAGCTGTAATCCTATGTGGCCAGAAGCCTACAGAGGAATTTTCCACTGTCTAAATCCATGGTGAGAGCAAATGCCCAGGTTCCTGACACTCAAAGAAACCTGAATATATATTTTCTAAAAATAAAATATGGGGTCCTGGTGTGAACCAGGACCTTGGCTGTCCAATGGGATGTCTTTCTCAGTCCTCTGTAGGGAAGCTGGTCTAGCATTCCTAGACATCTCTGATACTCGTTAGGATTCAGACTAATGATTACTGACTTGAAAAATCTGTTCCCGTGATGATGAACAATCTAAATACAAATTCTGAAGACTACCTGGATATCTGATTGCCCTAGAACTGTGTAAGTAATGGAGTACCCCAACATTTAGCTGGAGACCTTGATAAAATCAAAGCAGACCAAATTAAAATCTAATGATATGGAATATCTGCTAGGATGTGTGGATCCAAGATGCTTTGCAAGAAGTAGTAGTTGAATCAATACTTTTGATTCTTTCAGTGAGTATCCCAGAGAAAAGGCTATTGACTTTTGTGCAAACAAGCTACCATGGCTCCTAGTACAAAGAGCCTTTCATGGCTGCACTCCCAAATAGGACAAGACATTTTCTTTGCACCTGGTCAGATGCCAAATTTCCTACACAGGTGAGATCAAATGGCTGCATAAAATATTTCAAATGTAAACTTTTCTAGAGTAAAATTGGAATAGGATGCACAGCAATCTTGAATCAGGCTTACTAAGGTGAATACATTAAAAAATCCAAGATCAAGGCTCTTCTGACCTGACACTGGTGTCATGCCTCCTGCTCTCCTTGCAGATAACAAGCAATGATGCATCTTTTAAAAGCTGGAGGATTTCAAATCACAAAGCAACACTGGTGATTAGAACACAGGGCTAGGACACAGGGAATTTAGATCCTATTCCTACCTACAGAATCACAGAGTATTCTGGTTTGGAAGGGATCTGCAAGGATCATCAAAGTCCAATCCACGGCCCTGCACAGGACAGTCCAAAGAAACACATCATATGCCTGAAGATGTTGTCCAAACACTTCTTGAACTCTGGCAGGCTTTTTGCTGTGACTACTCAGACTGACAGTTCTGACCCTGAAAAACTGATACTGCTTTTATTGTTCATATACATCCTTGCTCTCTTCATCCTTTAGACAGCTGGAGAAAAAGCCTTGTTTTCACATACCTGTGACCACTGGATTAGGAAGACTGAACAAATTTTCATGTGATTTGATTGCTGGTTTGTTGTTTTTTGGTTTTTTTTTTTTTTTTGTCAGAACTGTCTCAAGATTCCTGTAAGATTAGTCAGGTCCCTTAGCAATCCTTACCTTTGAGGTTCAAGTGCAGCTAATATCACCCCAGGCAGGGGCAGTAATAAAGCATTAGACACCTAAATGTCAGACTGAATCCCTTTTCCCTTCTTTCTCTTACACAGCTCCTGTACGAAGTCAGACTGCATAATGGCATCCCTACCCTGGAAGTCTGCTTCCTGCTCCATTTTGCATTCCTGCAGCTCTAAATAAAGCCAAAACAATTCCATTGTATTGTTAAAAAATTATCTAATTCCAGCACTGTTCCTCTGTTGTATAAACATAAAGACTTGTGCTTCCACTTTTCTCTTTCTTTGAGAGGCAAATAAGTATTTTTAATGGTGCTCAGTGCTGCAAAATCAGGGTGGAGTATAGGTCTGAATCACAACTGTGTACTCCCCAGGCTTCAGACTGGAGTGGGGCAGAACCTGAGGACTATTATGGCAAGCTGAACTCAGAAAAAGGCTTTTATTACTGAGTAATAAACTCATGAAAATTGGGGGTTTATTAACAAAAATGTTGACAGACCTTTAACTTTAGTGGTGCTACTGAGCACCGCTATATGTAAAGACGAAACCTTTCTGCACTTTACAAATTTATTAGCTGTAATTTCATTTATTTATTATTTTGTTCCACATATAGAAAATGTGCTAGGAAAACAAGAGCACTTTATGCCCTGTGAAACCAGAGTTGTTGTGAGATTTTTTCCTAGAGGATTTAAGGGTATGCATGAAGGGTATTTGTTTCTCAAGCACTGGCATGTCTGGAAGTCCAACCCACTCCTGCAAAGTTAAGTGGGATTGTTGTCTAATTTCAGTGCAGCTCTCTGGCCAGATTAGAAAGTCATTTGCTGACAAAGGCACACACCAGAACAAGAGGCTCACGAAGGGGAGAGCCTTATTTCCTTTTCTTTGAAACTCAGCTTACCCCATCCTTTCCAGCAGCTTGTGTGTTTTCCCAAATCAGAGCAAATCCTGCCAGCAAAAATGACAAAGATTGACTGAGTTTTATCCACTTAAGAACCAAGAAGTTTGCCTTGACAAGCTGTTCCCCAGGAGTGACTCCATAAGGTTTCCTGTTGTTTCTGCAAACCCTCTCTGCCCCTGTGGCTCTCCCAGTAGACTGTGACACTTGTCAGGGGCTTGCAGCAGAGATCCAAGTATTTGCTCCTACTCCAGGAGGTAACACCATCCTCTCCAAAAGTTTTCTCTTATAAACACATCTACTTTGATAATTTCTCTGGAGTAGGAAGTTCCCTTAGTGAATTGCCTCTCTGAAACCCCTTCTCCTGCACAACCCAGTCTGAACCTTTCTCTCCTTCCCTGGCTGTGACCATGGAGAGGGTGAGGGATGCAGGGCAGCCTGCCCATGGCTGGGAAAGCCAACTATGTTTCTGAACAGTGGTAAAAAGGAAGACCACGGCGGAAAATAGTTCCCTATGTTATGAACAGGACCTCATGCATGGTATTTTACCCTTGCTCACCAAGAAACCTTTTGATCTGCAGGCAGGAGCTCACAGTGCAGCCAGGGAATCATCACCACTTGCTCACAGCAACTTTTTGCTTCAGACTCCAAGAAGAACCTGAAACACAGGAAAGCACATGTCTCGTGTCTCTCAGGCTCACTCAGGTCATGGTATGGAACAAATCAGCCTGAAGTAACACAGGCCACACTGAAAATCTGCAAGTCATTACCCGTAATGATTATTCAGAAAGGGAGCTGGCATCAAAATAATTCTCCCCCTCCTCTAATCTAAATCATTCCCCCTCCCTTTTTCTCTCACTCCTTGGTGCTTTCAAGAGCAGCAAAGAGTATCTGAGTATTTTTTCCCTCCTGTTGCAAGTCATCAAAAATCCACCCAGGAGCAAGGCATGGTAGGAGACAGAGAGCAGGGAGCTGGTCCCATTCAGCTGTTCCTGTCCTCATCCTTGTAGAAACATGCACCCAGTTGGAAAGGGAAAGCCTGAAGGCACATGGGGAGAAAGGCTGTGAAAGCATCTCTGTTCTGCCTTTCTGACAAAAGAAAGAGAGAAGGTGAGCACTCACTGAAAAATGAGTAAAATAATTTCTCCTCTAAGGGAAAAACTAAATAAGAAAGCAATGTATGGTGTGTTGTCCAAGGTCTTTCCATTACCTTCTGGCTTGAAAACATCTTAGACCTCTCTCTCCCCCTACCCAGGTGGGAAGCACTCACTCGGAGGCACCTGCAAACATGCACACACACAAAGCCCTATCATTCCTTGCATTTGGAATAGCAAATATATTCATTTTCTTTACCATTAAAGCAGGAACGTGGATGAATGCATTTGGAAACCTTTACTTCTATTGTAATGCCAGATGCACAAAGATATGCAAGAATAAAAGCAGCAAAGAGCTTGGGGGAGCAGAAATTTTGGCTGAGGGTAATGCAGAGTACAGAAAAGCCTGCAGAAATGTTTGACTGAACCTTTGACTGAGAGAATGAAGAAGTCTTCTCTGGGGCTTGTTAGAACTGTAACTGTCTAATTTAGAGGAACAGGATAGGATGAATATTTTATAAGGGTTTTTCCACAGGGCTGTTAACATTTAGCAAACAAAAGACAGCCGTGATTCATTTTCCTTCTCACAGGGGGCAAATGAGTTAACAGCTGTAACGAGGGAATTAAAAAAGGATGCTCCCAGCACTGAGAACAGCTGTTGCCTTTTCAGGTGCTTGGGAAACTGGGAGCACTGAGGTTTGTGCAGCACCTATTGGACAAAATGAGTCTAGGGTAGAGTTTGCAAACTAATTCAAACTTGTTTTCTGCTCCAGTGTCCCAAGGTAAGTGCTGCTGGTCCCAATCCTGGGACTTTGGCGTCTACATGCCTTTGATAATCTTTAGCTGTGCTCCCTTTCTCCAAAATGGTGCAGGAAATATGCAATCTGTCTCCTGATCTACAAAGACAGTAATTCCTCAGCTGTGGTCAGCACAGTCCAGCTAGTCATGACCTGACTCCAGGTACTTCCCCAGGTGCTCATCCTGCAGAGGAGGCATCAGATTGGGTTTCAAGGAGGGCCCTGGCCAGAGCAAGAGAAGGAGCAGACAGC